TCTTCTTCTTCTTCTTCTTCTTCTGATCTTTCCTGAATGTAGTTTATTTCTAGAGGCTGATTATTTGGTTGGTCCCCTGGATTAAAAATGTTGAGATCAGCAGTCAAATTCCCAAAGGACAGCTTCATTTGACCAGTTCTACAGTTGATGAGAGCATTAGAAGTGGCTAAGAACGGTCGTCCTAAGATGACAGGTGTCTGTCCTTTGGGATTGGAAACAGGCTGTGTTTCCAAGACTACAAAATCTACTGGAAAAATAAAATCTCCAACCTTAATCAGAACATCCTCTAACTCACCCATAGGGACCTTGACAGATCTATCAGCCAACTGTAAGGTGCATTTGGTTGGGTTCAGTACACCTAGACCCAATTGCTGATAGACTGAATATGGAAGCAAATTGACACTGGCCCCTAAGTCTAAAAGCGCCTTATCAATGTGAGTATTACCAATGATACATGAAATGATGGGGGAACCTGGATCTTTACGTTTCAAAGGTATGGGATTTGACAGCATTTCACTGATATTGGCGGCTAAAAAGACTTTCTTTGGGACATTTATTCTCCTCTTCTTAGTGCACAATTCTTTTAAAAATTTAGCATAAGATGGAATTTGTTCAATTACATCTAAGAGAGGAATGTTGACCTTAACCTGCTTGAATGTCTCTAGGATTTTCTCCTCCTGAGGAGAGTGTTTCCTAGACCTGAGTCTATCTGGAAAGGGAGCAACCGGTCTAAATCTATCAAAAGCAGGCTCAGGTTCGGGTTCAGGTTCTTGGTCATCTGAGGGGAGTGATTGTTGAATAGATTCATCAGAAGGAGAAGGAGAAGGAATTTGTACAGGATCAAGAGTTTGACTTGGCGGAGTTCTCACTTGATTATCGACCTGTCTACCTGACCGAAGTGAATGGATTGCATTCACTTGAGCTTCATAGGATGAACTGCATCCTGTGTTATTAGGGTTGACCACGGGTTGACTCGGAAATTTTCCTTTCTCTCTTTCACTCACGGCACTAGCTAGTTGACCAAGTTGGGATTCTAATCTAGCTATAGCTTGAGTGTTGGAGTTGAGCATTTGTCCGGTTGATTGCATGAAGGAATTCAACGTGCTAGATGTTTGAGTCAACATATTCGTGGTTTGAGTAGAGGCCTTAATTATGGTTTCTAAACCCCTTTCCAAGACATTGAGACGTTTATCTTGATCTGGATTGTGAGGAGTTTGAATTACAGCTTGATGAGGAGGAGACTGATTTTGATACGGCAGATTGGGTTGTTGAAATTGTGAATGAGAATTGAATGGAACTGTGTTTCCCCTAGGAAAATGTTGGGTCGAAGCGGGAGTGAAATTTTGAGTTCCGGGAGAATTTCCTAGATTCCATGCAAAGTTGGGATGATTTCTCCAACCTGGATTGTAGGTTGGAGAAAATGGATCATTTCTAGGGTGCTGGAATGCAGCGTTCATCTGTTCTATTGCGTTGTTATTTCCTAGGAGAGGGCATTCCTCTGAAACGTGGGTAGGAGACTGACAATTATGACATCCTGGGAAAGAAACATGATTGAGTTGAGCTGGAGCTCGTTCCTTAATTTCTAAGGCTTCTAACCTCCGCAGAATTGTCGCCATCTTCGCTTCAGAAGCAATGTTTGACTCCAAGGAAAGACCACTAGACTTAGAATGGGGAACTGATGAAACCCTGTCATCGCACTGTTCCCATTGCATTGTTTTTTCAGAAAGACTCTCCAAAAACTCCCAAGCTTCATCAGCATTTTTCCTCATAAAATCCCCGTGGCACATTGATTCTAAGGAAGTTTTTGCAGAATAATCTAATCCCTCATAAATTATTTGGCACAATCGCCATTTCTCTAAACCGTGATGAGGACATTGGATGAGAAGATCTTTAAATCGGTCAAAATACTTCCAAAAAGGTTCTCCCGGGATAATTTTAAAGTTTTGAATGCTGTTCCTAAGCTTTACCGTTTTATGAATAGGAAAAAATTTCTTAAGAAAAACGGTGACAAATTCATCCCAAGTTGAGATGGAATTTGTTGGTAAGCTGTACAGCCATTTTTTAGCTTTATCCTTAAGAGCAAATGGAATAAATCTAAGCTTAACCGCATCTTCATTTAATTCTCTCATTTTAATCATAATACACACTTCCTCAAATTCCGAAATAAAAATATATGCGTCTTCTGTTTCATTACCAAGGAATTTGGGAAGCATGTTTATGTATTGCGGTCTAAGCTCAAAATTTATTCCATTTGTTTCGGGAAGCCTAATGCACGAGGGGGTTGCATTCCTAATGGGATAGCACATATCCTGAAGAACTGGTTGATTTGCCATTTCTTGGGTTGGTTCAACACGAATTAAACGATGAGAATTATCCCGAACCCAAATTTGCATACACCAAAACAATTTTTTTTTTAAGAAAAGAAAGAAAATTAGTTTTTTTTTTGAGAAGATAAAGAAAAAGAAAAATCCTAACTAAAACAAATCAAAACAATCACTTTTCAATCACTCTAATTCTAGGGTTTAGCCTAATTCACTAGACCAGCTCCTAACCAAAAACTCCTACAGTGAAAAGATCAAAGTTTTACCCAGGTAGTTAGCCAGGTAAGGATAGTACTAGAGGGTGATCAAAGATCAATTAAGTACCTCTTTCCTTGCGGAGCGCTTTACGCAACCCCTAAACCTTGCCTTAGACACCAACTAATCTGAGAAAACTTAAACCGGTTCACTTAAGGATTTCTTGTTCCTTATTGAGCTCGAATCCTTAGGGGCCAACGTCTAATGAGTTTTATTAGGCTTGGGTGGTGTAGTGAGGAATTAGTGATTTTTGGGCTAAGGAAAGGGTGATGAAATCCCTCACCTTATCTTGATTATGGGGTTTTGCCCTTAAAAATATTTTTAAGTGTGTGTCAAATCAAGATGCTCAAATCACTTGGTGAATTCCTACACTATATGAAATGCAACCCTATGAATTAAAAGCAACTAAAAAGGATGGAAAAGAAAAATCTTTTTTTTTAATTAGGGTTAACAATCAAACAAATGAGAAGGGGGGATTTGTTTGAATTTATTATCTTGTTAGTAAATGTCAAAGTGGAGGATGGATTTTATTATGGTCAACAAAAAAAATAAAATCTCTTTTTTTTAAGTCCTAATTGTCTCTAATTGTGAAGAAGTAGCTAAAGGGTGTAATTAAAAACTAGAAAGAGGACTTACCCGAAAGCAAATCTTCAAATCCTAGCTCTCCAATCCGCGATCTTCAAGCTCCAAGCGTTTCCTTCACAAAAAACACACAAGTTAAAGAACCAAAATAATTAAAACCTACTTAAGCACCTTCCCCGGCAACGGCGCCAAAAACTTGATGCGGCATAAACATGTACCAAAAAGGTTGCAAGTGCACAACCGTGTCAAGTTATAGTATTTAAGATATCGATCCCACGAGGAAGGTGTTTTGTAGGAGAAAATATAAAATCGGTTCTTATGTTGTGTGCGTGACAAATAGGAGTGATGAGTAAATATGATTGTGGAGAGATAGAAAGAGTGAAAGTGATAGTGTGTAAATCGGTACGAAATATAAGTGAGAGTGGATGTGACAAAGAATGAATATGATCAATAAGGCAAGAAGGAAAAAGAAAATAAAAATCAAGAATAAAGAAAATAAAATTCAAGAATAAAAGAAAATGCAAGAATGAATAAAATCAAGAAACAAATAAAAATTCAAGAATGAAGAACAAAATTCTAGAATAAAAGAAAATGCAAGAAATTAAAGATGGTGGATTCAATTATAGATATGGGTAATCTACAATTGAACCCACTTCTTAGAAAAGGGTGATTCCCTAGAGGGTTCTAGCCTAAAGGCGAATCAAACAAAATAAAAATAAACAAAAAGAAAAACTAAACCCAAGAGGGTTCTAGCCTCAAGGTGAATAGTATAAGAAATTAAAATCTAACTACAAAATAAATTGCAAAATCTAAACTACAAAATAAAATTGCAAGAATTAAATGCAAGAAAATAAATCTACTCTATAAGCATGAAATAAATCTAAGGCAAGAGGGTTCTAGCCTCTTGGCTATTTAACAAGAAAATAAAATCTAAACTACAAGCATAGAAATAAATCTAACTAATAAGCAATAAAAGAGAAAAAGAAAAGAAATGCAAACCTTCAAATAATTCTCCATCTTTATCATCATCTTCATCATCCAACAAAGAGAAGAAGAGAAAAATTTAAAGTGGTGAAAAAAATTATTTTTATTAATTACAACTAAAGTTACAATTTTGGAAAGTTACAATTTTTGGAAGGCCTTCTCAATTAAGAGTAGCCCTCCTCTCCAAAAGGAGTTTACAAAATTTTCACACCTAACCCCTCACTCTCTACCCTTATTTATAGTAAACATCAGTGAATGAGAGCCATTGGATTGAAATCTTATCCAAAAATAACAAATTTTAGCCTTAGATTCGTAACAAACTGCCCAGCGTATCGATGCAGGCATCGATACAGGCATCGATGCAGGCATCGATGTCGGTATCGATGCAGGCATCGATGCCGCCATCGATGCAGGCATCGATGCCTGCCCTTCTCCTTTTGCTGTCCGCAGCTTCTTCTTGTTGTTTGCTTTTGGGCTTTGGACATTGGGCTTTTCTTGGACTCTTGGGCTTGGGCTTTGATTTATCTCTTCATTAAATACTTGAAAGAATTCATTGGGCTTCATGGCTTCATTTCCTCATTAAATTATGGGCTTTTTGTTGAGAGATGAGGGTTTTGAGATTTATTCTTCATTAACCTGCAATTAAAGATAAAAACAATTATTAGTAGTATATTTATTCATATAAAATAGATAACGAGGGTATAAAATTGTAATAAAATGTGATTATCAGGTTGCCTCCCAAGAAGCGCTCGTTTATGGTCATGAGCTCGACCCCTTCAATGCTCACAATGATGATGGATCGGGAAGGGTAAAAGTACCCAACTTCTCGATCGGAGTTCCTGTGAAATAATACTTTAATCACTGTCCATTGACCTTGAAAGATCCCGTGGCTTCACTCCATACTTCGACAGCCCCAAATGAGTATATCTTATGCACTTGGAATGGTCCGGACCACATCGAACAAAGTTTGCCCGGAAAAAGCTTGAGTCGGGAATTAAGTAGAAGTATCAAGTCTCCTTCTGTAAACTCTTTACGGAGGATATGTTGATCATGCCACTTCATTATTCTTTCTTTGTAAATCTTGGCATTCTCATACGCACCCAATCTCAATACATCAAGTTCATTTGGTTGAAGCTTTCTCTGCTCCCCTGATTCTTTCAAATCTAAATGAATGCTCTTGATAGCCCAATGTGCCTTATGTTCCACTTCAACTGGTGGAGATGGACTGGTTCTAGACTTCTTCTGCTGCTTTTTGACACGACTGTGTCTACGGACACACCATGGCCGTGTGGAATCATTATTCAGCATCTTCCCAGGTGCAGTTTTCTCTTCACAAACCTGTTCTGGGCTGTTTCTGCTGCTTTTTGACACAACTGTGTTTACATACACGACCTGGTCATTCAGCCCCCTTGCAATTTCGACCACTATATCAGGTTCTTTGATGTAGGTGGTTTTGGTGTAGGTTGGCTTTTCATCAAGCATTGTAACATAGGAAGTTATTTCCTGATCATCATCATCTGGTACCCCATTCTTTACTAAACATTTCTCAAGTGGATCACTTGAGATATCTCTGGTAAAATCTTCTCTAACCACCATGTCAATCGTGTCAATCCTGCAACAAGTATCATCAATTAGTGGAAACTTCATAGCAGAAAACAAATCAAAATTCACCTTTTCATCCCCTATATTGAGAGAGAGCTTTCCATTCTTCACATCAATTATCGCTCCAGCGGTAGCAAGGAAAGGTCTTCCCAATATAATGGGGATTTGAGAATCCTCCTCCATTTCAAGAATAACAAAATCAACTGGAATAAAGAATTTACCAACCTGGATGGGTACATCCTCTAATATACCTACCGAACGTTTAACCGATCGATCCGCTAATTGGAGGGAGATAGTAGTAGGCTTCAAGTCTCCCATCTGTAACTTGTTACATATAGACAATGGCATAAGACTGACACTAGCACCGAGATCACATAGAGCACAATTAATTGACATATCACCATTTGTGCAAGGGATTGAAAATGAGCCAGGATCTTTAAGCTTAGGTGGTAGCTTATTTTGTATGATGTCACTACACTCTTGGGTCAAGGCTACAGTCTCATATTCCTCTAATCGCCTCTTATTTGATAGAATCTCCTTTAAGAATTTGGCATAGGATGGCATTTGGGAAATGGCTTCAACAAATGGGATGTTAATATGCAATTTTTTAAGGATTTCTATGAATTTCCCAAACTGTTTTTCCAACTTAGCTTTAACTTGCCTTTGAGGGAAGGGTAGTGGAGGCTTATAAGGTGCAGGTGCTACATATCTCTCAACATTCTCCCCTTTCTCACCAATATGCTCTTTCTCACTTGTCACCAACTTCTCACTCTCATCAATCACATCCCTATGATCACTCCTTCTAAATTCTTCATTTTGCTTATTCTGGGATGTCACGAAATTTTCCATCAAGCTTTCTAAGTTGGACTTTTGGGGACTAGGGTAAGGGAGTCTAGGGGTTTGAAAACCTGGAGGTCGAAAATTTGAGTGAGGAATCGGGTTCAGGGGTGGATTTTTATAGGATAAATTAGGATGATTTCTCCACCCCGGGTTGTATGTATTGGAAAAAGGGTCCCCTTTCTGATTAAAATTATTCATATAATTAACATGTTCAGATAATGGTGCATCAGGGGAAGGGGAGTTTCCAATCTGACATTCCACAGCAGAATGTCCAATGATACCACATATTTCACAGTTAGTAGAGTTAGATGCTACTGAATTCATGCTCATCTTGTCAAATTTTTGAAATAAAGCATCTACTCTAGAAGCAATGTGGTCTAATGCATCTACATCATACCTCCCGCTCTTTTTGGGTAAAGAGCGCTCACCTGACCATTGGAAATGGTTCTGCGCCATATCCTCTATGAGTTGTTTTGCATCTCGTACACTTTTGTTCATCAATGCACCACCCGCTGCAGCATCCACGGTCATCCTTGTGTTGTAGAGAAGACCGTTGTAGAAAGTGTGAATTATGAGCCAATCCTCTAACTTGTGATGTGGACACATCCTTAGAAGATCCTTGTACCTCTCCCATGCATCATACAATGACTCCCCTTCTTTTTGAGTGAAGGTTGTTATCTGATTTCTCAATTGGGCTATTTTGCTCGGAGGGAAGTACTTAGCAAGGAACGCTTCTAAGAGTTGGTCCCATGTAGTGATGGAGCCCGGTGAAAGTGATTGCAGCCAAGCCCTTGCCTTGTCTCTTAGTGAGAAGGGAAACAACCTTAGCTTGATTGTATCATCCGACACTCCATTCATCTTCAAGGTGTCACAATACTCCAAAAAGATTGAGATGTGGAGGTTTGGGTCTTCGATTGGAGTGCCTCCAAATTGGTTTTGCTGAACCATGGAGAGGAGTGAAGGCTTGAGTTCAAAATTGTTGGCAGCAACATTAGGCTTCAAGATGCTAGATTGGGAGCTATGGGTGGTTGGTGATGCAAACTCCTTCAAGGATCGGTCTTGATTGCATTGGTTTTCTTGGTCTCCCATGGTGTTTTTACTTTTCAAATTGTCCTTTGTTTCTCGTGCCTTCTTCCTAATATGACGCAAGGTCCTTTCAATCTCAGGATCACACTCGATTGGTTCTCCAAGTCGTAAGGATCTGGACATACAAGGGTGCCTGCACTAAAAAAAAACAAGTCAAACGAAAAAAATAAAAATAAAATAAATGAAAGAAAATGTCTAGTCTAGTCAAACAATGAAAAAGTCAATATTAACATTGCCGAAGTCCCCGGCAACGGCGCCAAAAACTTGTTCACTCAAATCCGCAAGTGCACGGATATCGTTGTAGCGATGAAAGGTCGTATCCTCAGGGACTTCGTTGTTAATTACTGATTTTCACTGTTTTGTAACTATCAAAACCAATTGTGTTAAAAAGTATGATTTTTGATTATCAATAACGAATACGCTAGCTAGTATCAATGACGAATTCACTCAATTAAAAGGATCTAGGATTGAACTTCGGTTTCAACTCTAGTTAAAATCAATAAATTAATCAATTGTTATTGAATCTCTCAATGCATTAAGAACGACTAACCTATGATAACTATTAGCCTCTTTCGACGACTAAAAGTCGTGCCTAATTCAGCCTAACAACCTATTTTCATAGTGTTAAACCAAATTAAACCCATTAAGTTCTTGTTAATCCCTCATGTTCTCAAGAATAATTAACCTACTTTTGTGATCAATTAATTCTTGTTCAATTACTATTTTCCGGCGTCAATCTAACCTTTCAGTTCAAATCAACATCCTAAAAGAATTAAATCAGTGGCCAATTGAATTAACCCTAGGCAATTAGATACTAGTAACTGAATAATGCAAATCGAACAATCAATAACAACAACAATCAGTTCATTAATTCATAACCATGGCCGAACCTAGTTCAATCCCAGATAAGACAATTACTCACACATAATTGAAATAGAAAACATGATAACAATATATAAGATCATAATCATAAACTGGAAATTGAGATAGATCAGAAAGATAAACCGTAGTGTTGAAGTTGCACACAATTCTCCACAAACAGCAGGTTCCAAATCAAAAGAAAACTAATCTAAGAGTTTTTAGAGAGAAGAAGAAGAAAGAAAAATCAAGATCTCCAGCCTCTGGTTTCTCTTGATGCCTCCCCCACGTCCTCTTTTAAGTTCTGGAGAAACATGTGTTAACAGATAGCTTCAAATCTCGCTCAAAATCGCGTAGTAACTGACTGCTGTCATCCAACACGGCTGTGTAGATCGACATGACCAGGCCGTGTTTAACTCTGTTTCGCTCTACTTTCTGGGCTTTTCTTCTGTAATCAACACGCCTGTGTTGTTGAACACTGGGTGACTGTGTAGCCACTTTCCTTGCATTCCTTGACTCCTTCTTGACTCCGAATCCGCGCTAAACTCCAGAATTCCTACACAATATATAAATAGAGCAGTAAACAAGAACTAGGGAGCTTAACAGGGCAAAAGTACAAGGAAATACATCAAATAACAACAAATCCATAGGTGAAACATAGTCAAATTATAGAGAATATTTGTGTTTATCATCTCTCTCCCCATATACTTGGCCATCCCTCTCGAATTATCGTGCGTATGACAAGCTGACATTCATGAAAGAAAGAATCCTCGGGATGGTCTTCTACAGAAAACCATAATGGGAGGGAATATATGACATTTGTCTCACAACCACTTTTAAACGAGTACAACCAAAATAAACGGTAAGTGCAATCGATGACTTACTGATTCATGGAAAAAACCTCAAGATGGTACCCGGTGCCCGGCCCGGGCCCGGGCATTAGCGGTCACAAAAGTGACCGTTAATGGCCACAATAGTCACAATTTGACCGTTGTGGCCGGGCCGGGCCGCC